GTTCTAGTTAGGTTTTCAACCGAAAATTTTATAAAGTACAGGAATTAAGATAGAACCTAGCAACTAGTAATAAGTTAACTAAATTACAGAATCTCTTTTGATGAAAAAAGTTAATAGAATTGTAATATGGTCAATAAAACAATGTATACCAAGTTTCATTTTAGAACCTTCATCTGAAATATTTAGCTTTGAAATTAGAAATAGTTGAATGTAATTTAATATTTATACCAGGGTTTCAGCTTCCCCTTAAAAAGTTATAGTCTCATTAGATCTAGTCAAAAGAAATTTTATCTGGAGGTAATGCAGTTTAATTTAGTAATATCTGGAATAATTTTAAATATTTCAGGATAAAACAGTATAATTTATAGTTCATAACATGAAAGTCTTAAAATTTTAAGCTGATGCTGTGCCAAACATCAGGGAATATTTCTTCCTGTTTAATATTAAAGATTGCTGTAGACCTAGAGAAAATATTTTTGTTCACACCTTTGTTTTAATTTAGGCAAAGGACATGGAATGCTCAATTAAACAGATATAACATACTGATTTTTTTTAATATCAGTCTCTTCTTGGCAAAGAAAAAAATTTGGGTGAGATAGAATTGAATCATGGAGTATCTCTGTTATGAGGCAAATAATAGGAAGCTAAATTTTGTTGCTTCTCGTGCACTTGCAAACCATTTGTTGATAGTGTCAGTTTGATTCCCATCTCTGTGTAATACATTTGTTAATTGGAACTAATTTTAAAATTATGTGTGAGTTGCCTATTTAATTCTATAATCTGTAATTAAATTAATTTTGAGCAGGCAATATTTGAGTGTGTTTATTCAGAACATGATGAATTATTTGAGAATACAGAAAACAATTGGATCAGATGTATTGAAATATAAACATATCAAGTAAATAATTAAGATAAAAATAATACTAATAATTGAAAATATTTTAATAATAGCAACAGCATTGTCATTACAACTATTTTATTTAATGAGAAGTAATCCTCTATTTGTAGGATTGTATGTTGATATATTTTGGAGTTTCTGCAAAGCTTTTGATGGGACCATTGGAAGAGGATGTGCATGTAGAGACCATTACCTGTTACTCAGTAAACAGATCTTAAAAATTCATCATACTTATTATTAGGGGCGAGATTATTTAGTGAAATAGGCAAGATAAACTGTTAGTCTGAAATAAGGTATGAATGTACCATGTTTGAGGTACTTGTGCAAGTTTCCCATGAGCTCACTATTGGCCATAAGAATGTTATTATCTCTTGGTGAGGTGAGATGAACTGCTTGTCTCCATTGCGGGGAAAAAATATGAACATGTGTGTGTTGTGGAGAAGCTGACTTCCCAGAAAAGTCAGAAATCTTTATAATAAATTCAGATCTGACTGATCCAACAGGTAGATTGTGGCTGTATCCCAGATAATCTTGTATTAACTTAGTAGTGGCACAATTGCTGATCTCACTGCTTCATAGTGCTTGATGCTCATAAATTTTCAGTTTTGCTTCTGCTTGTGTTCTTCTGCATGTCTGTCGTGGAAACTACAAATCCAGTAGAATAAACAATAATAAATGTTACTATATGAAGACCATGTAAGCCAAAGCTTTGTGAGCAAAATGCCGTGCTGCAAATTTTTAATCTACTTATACAGTAGTTTACAGAGACAAGCACTTTTGCCTCTGGCCATTCTTGCTCTTCACAAATGATAAACGTGTGTATGAAAATGCATATATTTTAAACCAAATTAAATATGTGCATACATATTTAACATGATTGGAAAAAGTCTATAGTATCTGATGTCATACTACAGTGGTTAAATGCATTTCACAAAATATTTCAATCATGTAAAAAAGTAAAAGTTCATTCAAGGATGACTTTATGACCTTTCAGAGAACTACAGGACAGGAATTAACAGGAAAAAAACCACGTATTTGCCGTATTACAAGTACAGAGGATTGGCAGATCTGTCAAAGCAAGCTTAACTGTCAGTTCCCCATGTTTCTCAAAGGACACTGCACAGTAGTGTTGGGTAATGTTTCATCAACACAGAAGGTAACATTTTCTAAGTGTTAGTGTATTGACTCCCAAACCGAGTAGTGTTTAAAATGCCAGCAATGAAAATAAGATCTTGTTTTGTATGTATCTCAAAATGAAAGTGTGAGGAATGAAATAAAAACTTGCTTTTACAAGTATGGTTTCATCTGATACAATATTTACATCAATTTCGGAGGACCAAAAAGGACTTCTGAAGGAGCCCAGAGAAGCTGTGGCTGCCCCATCCCTGGAAGTGTTCAAGGCCAGGTTGGATGGGGCTTGGAGCAACCTGGTCTAGTGAGAGGTGTCCCAGCTCATGCAGGAGGGTTGAAACCAACCCAAACCATTCAGTGATTCTATGACTTTAATTGCTTTGCATATAGAGACTTCTTCCTCCTTGTAGTAGTAAGTTGCTCTTTGAACCATATTTAATATGTGCTGTTCCTTTTTACTGTGCTTCTGATTTACTGATATGCAGTAGTTATTTTGCCTTATGCATTTACTTGTTTTTTTCCACATACCAGTCATAAAGGTATGTCACCCCCTTGGTATCAGGAACTGAAGCTGTAGGGATGCTACATATTTCATATAATTGCTTACAGCTAAAGTTTTCAGTGAGTCAGCTTTTGCACGGTTGTGCTTGGTGTGAGGTTGTGTCATATTTTGACATTCAGTTTAAAGTGAAAGTGCAAATTATTTCTGGGAAGATGGCTCATTTTGGAATTGCTTATTCATCCTTGGAACTTTTTCTTCAAATACTTTATGGGGCTTTATAGCAGCAAAATGCTCTACTTCTGCTTTAGTCAGCAGAAGAAATGGGTGTTTGCCCATAAGAAACAGAACAGCAAGATTCAACACATTGCCAAAAGAAACTTTTGAAGCTCACTGAGCTCAAGCTCACAGGTCTGGCCCTGCAGAAATCAGAAGGAACTCTTGCTTTCTCTATTCTGGTGCATAAAGTCTTGATTCATACAGGAACCAGTGCCAAGTACTTCTGAAGCAGCTTGAACTCCATTGTAGGTGGCTGATGTCTCTTTCTGCGTGGGGTGTAATTGGTCTCTGAGCCTCTATTACCCCAAATCCAGAATTCCCGGGGGTGACCTCAAGTCTTCCCTTGTGCTTTGTGCCAGAGGCTCCAGGTAAGACCATTATCCTCAAGTGCAGTGTAGATCATGTTCTGGCTCTATTTGGACACATCCCAGGCCCATAGCTTGTACAATTTCGTATTTTATCTGGTCAAATGTCTGTACTTGTTCGGGGCCCACATTAAACTATTTTCTGAGTTACTTTATAAGAGAGGCTTCACAGTTTCACTGTATAATGAATGCAATATGCATCCTCCAGAAACCTGCAACATTCAAAGAGGGTCTCTTACTGGTAGGTGGAGACATAGCTGTTACCTTATTCACTATGTCCATAGGGATGTGGTGGCGTCCATCTTGCCATTTAATTCCCAAGAACTGTATCCCTTGGGAATGTCCCTTGACCTTACTTCTCTTAATGGCAAACCCAGCTTCCAATAGAAGGTGCATTATCTTCTTACATTTTTTTGAAGACGTCCTCTGCTGTGTTGCCCCATACAATGATATTGTCAATGTACTGAAGATCCTCTGGAGCTCCACCCTTCTCCAGTATAGTCTGGATTAGTCCATGGCAGATGATTCCAGGTGTATTGGATGTTCCCCCAGGTGAAAACAAACTAGGACATGCACTGTGCTGCTAAGGGAATGGAAAAAAATGCATTAGCAATGTCAACCATGGTATACCATTTTGCTGCCTTGGACTCCACTTCATACTGAAGTTGCAGCATGTCAGGCCAGGCAGAGCTCCTTGGTGTTGTAACTTTAGTAGTCAATAGTTAATGTCTCTACTCTGTCAGGCTTCTGCACTGGATATTTTGGACTTAAGAAAGGCAAGTGAGCCTTGCCTGATGACCCCTTGGCTCTCTAATCCACGAATCAGGTTCTGTATTACATGCTGAGTGTAGGTCCAGTTGCCTCGCTGGAAAAGCATAAGAGAAAGGTGACAGGAATAGTGATAGGTATGATGATTGTTTGTCTCGAATAAGACAGATCCAATTCTCCAAAAGGCATTACTGGCCCAAAAATAGGGCATAGTTATTTATAATTTTTCTTAGGAAAAGGTGGCATCAAATCAAATTGCAAGTTTTAAGAACAAAGGAAGTATTTTTTGAGATGGCTCATAATGACATCACGGAACCTGTTCTTAACCTAGTTTAACCATTTTTTATCTGAACTTCATGCCTACTGTTGTGAAACATCTCTTCTGACATTGGTTATAAGGAAAATATTACCTGCATGGGAGGTAGTATTTCCAGTCTGCACACTAAATTGTTACCATTTCAAATTTGGCAATTTTATTTCTCAAATTTGTAAGCGGAATTTTCAATATATTAGTAGTATTAACTGAGAAGATCATGTAGCAATATAGAGGAATGTGTTGGTACATAATATTTTGATATACCTATCATTAACATGGGCATTTTGGAGTGTTTCTTGGTTGTATAAATTTAATAATGTCTGATAGTTTTTCTTTAGCTTATATGATGCATTTAATTAAATATTTAACTAACAGTTACATTCAGACACCGCGAGGGCCATATCTTTGCAAGTATTAATTTTGCAGTCAGGAGTCTCTAGCTATGTGTTTTACAAGCAGTTTTAACTTTTTTTAAGAATGTGATGCTACTGAATTATCTTTGTAATGGAATTTGAAGTTCTCTGGTTATTAAACTTTTCTCCTATTGCATAAGATGATGTCTTCTCAAACTCTGTATTTCTCTTCATATGTAACAATATAGAGACACAGATTATCTAGTTGCCCACTCTTATATGATAGCAATATTGTGTGACAGGCTGGAAGTTCTTGAATGTCTAAATGATTTCTTTTTCCTTGTTTGCCTCTTGTAGTGAATAATAATAGGCTGTTTGTTTTTTTTCCCAGATAACCTTTTTTATGCTGCTGTCTGCAGTGTGTGTAATGCTGAACTTGGCTGGCTCCATCCTCTCTTGTCAGAATGCTCAGCTGGTAAAGTCCCTGGAAGGTTGTCAGTTGGTGAGTAATATAAAAAAGTCAGTTATAAAGGGCAATGGATTTTATTTTTAATTAATTTGTTTTTTATATGCGTATTCCTTTAATGTTGAAAACACTATGTGTTTAACAGAGCCTTACAACATGAAAAAATGTGTTGTGGGAAAAGTTTGAGAGTTAAAGCACTAATGTATATATAGTGTTTTGTCACCTCAAGAAACAAGTTATGATTTTTGAAATCCTTGCTTCTTCATCTCATGGTATGAATGATGCTTAAACAGAACAGGTGGAATACAGGCCACATCAAAGCAATGCAGTGATTACCAAGTGAAGTCAGCAGTATCAGGATTTCATCCAATAGCTCCTTATACAGCCAGTGTATTTCACAGATGTACTGATAGTAATATTTTGGTATGTGTATGTTAAGCAAATGTATGTTACTTAAATAAAATACAGAATAATAAAAAACATTATGATTTGATATGCTCTAAATTGTTAAAAGCTGCAGTATACTTAAAGTCTTTGTATTTTATCTCAGGAAAAAAGGCACACGTACATTGAACTGTGCTATATTTGATATATTGAACTCAGATATGCCAGAGGGATGGGATGCCATCCAGAGGGACCTTGACAAGCTAGAGAAGTGGGCTGAAGTGAACCTCATGAGGTTCAACAAGGCCAAGTGGAGGGTCCTGCACCTGGGCTGAGGTAACCCAAGATATGAATACAGGCTGGGGGAGGTCCCACTTGAGAGCAGCCCTGTGGAAAAGGCCCTGGGGGTGCTGGTGGATCAAAATCTGGACATGAGCCACCAATGTGCACTTGCAGCCCAGAAGGCCGACTCCATCCTGGGCTGTATCAAAAGAAGCATGGCCAGGAGTTTGAGAGATGTGATTCAGCCCCTCTGCTCTGCCCTAGTAAGACCTCACCTAGAATACTGTGTTGAACTCTGATGCCCCCAGCACAAGAGAGATGTAGACCTGTTGAAATGTGTCCAGAAAAGGGCCATGAAAATGATCCAAGGGCTGGAGCACCTTTTAGGAGGACAGGCTGAGGGAGTTGGGGGTGTCCAGTCAGAAACACAGAAGGCTCCAGGAGACCTCATAGTGGCCTTTCAGTACCTAAAGGGGACCTACAGGAAAGCTGAGGATGGTCTTTTTACAGGGCTTGCAGTGAGGGGTAATGGTTTTAAGCTGAAAGAAGAGAGATTTTTGTTAGAGATCAGGCATAAATTCTTAAGTGTAAGGGTGATGAGACACTGGAACAGGCTGCCCAGAGATGTTGTGGGGGCTCCTTCCCTGGAGGTGTTCAAGGGCAGGTTGGATGGGGCTCTGAGCAGCCTATTCTAGTGGAAGGTGTCCCTGCCCATGCAGGGGAGTTGGAACTCAATCATGTTTAAGGTCTCTTCCAACTCAGAAAATTCTGTGTAATTCTGTGGTATTTTCTGACATGAAATAATGAAAGTGTCTCCAGAACTAAACTAATTTCTGAAATCTCTGATATAAAGTAAATAATAAAAACACTATTTCCTGCCACCAATACATTCAGGAAACTAATGACATTTAATTGTAAGATTGACAAATAAAATGGACAGTGTTAGTGCTCTTTTAGTATAATCTGGCTGTCAGTAAACCAATTACACTATTTAAAGTGTATGAGTATGCACTCATAGGATTCCTTAAGTATTAGGAATGTGTGCACATACACACCTCCAAACACTTACTTGAATACATTTTTCTTTCTAATGCCAAAGATGACTCCACAAAATGCTTTTGCACCTCTGCTATTATGCCATTGTTTTCCTTCTTTGATATCTAAGGTTTTTATCCAGTAAAACTGTTCAGGCTTCTGTTTGCACACAATATATTTTAATAAACCTAAGGTAAAATAATATAAAATGTTTCAGCAAATATTTCAAAAGGCCCGTGAAAAATACAGAACAGGAAGCCATTTGAATGTGACCTGTTGCATGCCTTCACTTTGGTCAGCTTTTAAGCCTGTATTCTGTTTTCCTTTCATCCATCCTATTTTAGAGGGGTGTGTCTGCAGATCCATCAGTTAGGTAGTCTGGAAAACCTCAGATATTCACTAAGCTTTCTACAATGTTTGTGATTTCCTGGTGTGATTGTGGTAAAGGTGTTAGAGAGGCAGATGGACAGAGCCAGATAGCTGACAGTGGAAAACCAGCAGTACCCAAAGAAAGGAAGGGAGGATTTTTCCTGTAAAATATTGATCTGGGAAACTCTTGATAAAGTTCCTGGCTCTCATTTTGATGGGGAGTTGAAAGTGTGCTGCAAAGCTGGAAAAATAGTAGAACTTGGAGTTCTTGTAAGATGTATGCTTTATTTTGGGGTGCTATGGAAAAATAGGCTTTTTATTGTGGGTTTTGTTGTGGTTTTTTTAATTAAAAAAATATTGTAGGTATTTTTTGTGGAAGATCTTTGACGTTAGTCTTACTGGTTCGGTTTGAGATCCTTGCTTTGATATTAGGACCATTTAGAAGTTATTTTGATGGACTGCATTAAAATTAGAACTTCCCATGAAGACTTACAGAACAGCTTCATATCTGCATGGAAGAAATAATAAATAGTCTCAAAACAAATGTTTTCCTAGCTGTATAATGCAACTATATAACTATAACTATATTATGTGACCTATCTTCTGTAATTTTAAAACACAGTATTTTGACCTGGATCATCACTGTAACAAGTATTTTAGCCTTATTTCTAGACATTGTCCTCTTCTGGCTGATATGTGGTGTTCCATATTCTCCAGCAATGCCATCTTGCCACATCTCTCACATAGGATAGTATCAAAGCTCTCCAGAAGAAGAGGAGGAAACACTGGAATTTTGGAAACATAAATTTACATCTTCCTTGACCCTGCTCTGGCAGGGGGGTTGGACTAGATGATCTTTTGAGGTCCTTTCCAACACCTAGGATTCTGTGATTCTGTGTAATAGCTCTTGATTTGTTGGCAAAATCCCCATGAATATCTGTACTGTTTGACACACAAAATATTTCAGATCCAACATATTCTTAACTACTTACTGGTTTTGACATTTTATTGACTATAATAAATGAAAAAAAAATAAGCGTGTATGTATATATGGCTGAAGAGAGCCATTTGTACTTGTGTGTGCATCTCAGCAGCAACCAGTGTCATTACTGACAGATGTCAAGTAAGCTCTGTGAGTAGAATTTAAACAGCAAATCCTTTCCCAGGTGGAGGGGAATGCATGTAGCAAGAGGAGAGCCATGGGTGCTGTTGCCACTTAGAGCACGCATGGGTCTTGCTGCGTGTGTGTCTGCTGTTCTAGTTCCTTTTAGGCAGCCATTAGCAAACAGCTACTTAGCAAAGCCTGCTGAAAAATCCCTATGCCTGCAATTTAGTTGCTTACTCTGACTGCTGTTAACTGCTATGATGTATATGCTTGTTGGAGTCTAGGTTTAAATATGTAGGCAGCATTTATCATTTAATAATACCAGCCAGCCATATGTGATCTGTGTTCTGGGATATTATTGTGATAAGGTGTTTGTGTTAAGGTTCCTCATAGGCCTTTGCACCAAGCAGAAAAACTCAAAGAAATTAAAGGAATAATTTTAATTTCTCCTGATATAAGCTATAATAGAGGCATAGGACAAAAGGAAGAAAATCAAGTTAATGAGAATCACCAAAGTGACATTGCAGGGACAGAAAGTTGAAATAAGCAAATTTTTGCTTAATTAGCACATCCATAGACAAAGAAGGCACTGGCTCCAGCTGATAGTTAGGTGTTCACTATGAAGTAAAAGACCTTAGTCAACAGAAAGTGGTTTTAGTCTTTTTAAATGTTCTGTTCAGTGACCTCTTTTAGGATTATGAACCCCGTATCTTTTCAATTTTGATTAGAATCACCTCTCCCCTCTAACAGGAGAAGTACTACTCCAGAAGTAAGCAGTGACTAAGCTGTGCAGTTAAATTCTGTGATCATTAATTAAAATTAAAAGAAATATATTCATTTTGGATAAGGTGGACTTTAGAAGAAAAAAGCTAATTCAGGTACCGTTACTTTTTGTTGTTGTTTTTATTTTGCTTTCCCTTTGGCTTTTTGAAAGAATTGTTTTGGCTATTTGGGATATTTTACACTTAGAAATGTAATGTTTCAAAATATCTTGAATCCAGTGATTTTCCTGGGACCACGTTTGGGTTGAACTTTAAAGTAGCCTTGAGTTCTTTAACTGTAAGATCACAGAATAAATAAGATTACAGAGTCATTTATGTTGGAGAAGGCCTTTAAAGTCATTGAGTCCAACCATTAACCCAGCACTGCCAAGTCTACCACTAAAACCATATCTCCAGGCACCCCACCTACATACCTCCAGGGATGGTGCCTCAACCACTTCCCAGGGCAGCATGTTCCAATCCTTGACAATTCCCTTGGTGTAGAAATATTTCCTAATAGTCCTATCTAAACCTTCTCTGGTACAGCTTGATGCCATTTTCTCTGCTCTATGGCTTGTTACGTGGGAGAAGAGACCAATTCCAACCTTGCTACAATCTCCTTTCAGGTAGTTGTAGAGGGCAGTAAGTTTTCCCTTCAGCTTCCTTTTTTCCGAGCTAAACAACCCCAATTCCCTCAGCTGTTTTTCCTAAGACTTGCTTTCCAGACCCTTCAGCAGATATATATCTAAACCTTCTCTGGTACAGCTTGATGCCCCCCCCCTCCCCCCGTCTTCCCTCCTTTGTCTTGCCTTCTGTAGTCTTGCAGTCAGAGGATTAGCAGGTGGAAGCAGGCTTTGCAGAATTCAAAGGCAACCTCTGCTTGTTTCTTCAGGTTAATGGAAGAGTTTTTTACTTAAGCAAGAATCTTGTTAACAGTTGGGGTTTTTTATTTTTTCCAAAGCCCACTGTACTTGGCTAGTAAATTAAAAGGTAACTATTATGTCTTATTTTTATTTAGTTGAGCCTACTACATATGGCACATGCAGATTTCCCCCTGGACTAGCAAAACACTGAGCTGGCAAAAGAAAAGAATGGTTCAA